GCCTTGAGCAGGCGTCCAAGCGAACGACTTGCAGTGGCATCGAGACCCATACAATAGTGCTTCTACCACCGCTACGTGGACCGGAAGCCCGGCGCCAATCTTGCAAAACGCAACCTCTCCTCACCAAACTCGGCCAACGCAGGCATCATCAAAAGAAACTCTGGTGAGGTAGTCTACGCGTACCTTGAGCAGTCGTCCAAGCGAACGACTTGCAGTGGCATCGAGACCCATACAATGGTGCTTCTGCCACCGCGGTTGTTGCTCGGTTTCTGATTGGCCAAAATAGTGCCAGTAAAATCTTTTTGATCGATTTTGAGCGCGAGAGCCGGACAAGCAACTAGCGTCGAGGCGAGAATGGCCGCGACCGAGACCGTCATGGAGGTGCGGGAAACCTCTCCCGTATATGGCTCCATGGGGAAGGTAGGGGAAGCACCCAAGAGCTCCATGCGTCACCTGACGTACGCAACTGCCGCGACGCCGAGCATGGTCGACGGCGCATGGAAGGTAGACGACTACGCATGACGGCGACAGCGACCGGCAACACCCATAGGATGGAATGGACAAGTTCGATGATGAGCGCAACGTCGTCATGGAAGAAGCGGTGGGGGCCGATATAGCGTTCAAGGTAGACTCGCAGGATCGTCGGCGCCATGTACCCGACGCATCGTGCTAGGAGAACAACACGCCACTCAAGAGCTCGGTGAACCAGAGCAAAGGGAAGAAGCGCGCCGCGGCCGCCCCGTCTCCGTCGTCGGCAACGAAGAAGGGACGATCAGCCATCAAGGTATGGCAACGCTGATCCTCTTGAACTCATGCACGTCGTCACGAGGTGGACCGAGTGCCCAACGACCTGCGCGCCTGTTTCGACGGAGAACTCTCATCATTGCTGTAGGTCGACCCAGTCCCGAGGTCGTCGACCTGCTTCTGCTGCAGATCGGGACATGCGTTTCGACAGGGAGAACTTGGTGACGCACGAAGTTTGCTCATCTCTCTTATCTATCTTCTGCACTGTAGATGCGCCCACACTTTCGTTTCTCTATGCGGCCTGCACCCGCCCCGATCAATCGTGTGTCGGTACGCACCTCCTGCATCTTCAACGCAAGAGCACATGGCCATGGTAGACGTGCAATTCTTAAAAAAGAGGAATGACTAGCTAGACGTCCCGTTAAACAGCAACGATTGCGTCTTGTCAATCTCTTCGCTGCCTCTTGGATCGACGTCTACGCTGCGTGGGACGGGTGCTAGGCTAGGTCCAGACGCAATTCTTCCAAGCCCGCAGCGCTGGTCCTGAGATGCTCCATGCAGTGGGTCGCCAGCGCTAGAACGTCGACGTTGTGAAGACGAAGCGCCTCGTCGCGACGAGTGGCTTATGTGGCTCAGCGACGTCGAGATGAGCGAGCGCAATCGAGAACCCATGAGCGCTTCGACCGACGCGATCTGGGACGTTGCCCTGGCGGCCGGCTTCCCAATCCTTGTCGACGTGGACGTTTCCTACCTGGAGATTGCCCGGTGCCATGTCACCGGCGCGGTACTCGGACAGGTGCATGGAGCGGCCATTGACCACGAGGTCCGGCAAGACGCATGTCCCGGCTACGTGGCTAAGGTTGCGCAGGCGTACGAGGCTGAACGCATCCCGGTAGCGACCACGACGCTTGGCCAGCCCGCTCGGCCATGCTCTTTCCCTCGATCTATCTGCCCACAAGAACAACACCGTATTTTGCCCATCCATATCGTATTTACAGTTAAATTTACGGTAGAATTGCAGTACGACAAGCTATGCCGTTTCATGACGACGTGGCAGTCGTACCGTTCTCGAGCCGCTCGCCACGAAGCTGCATCGATATCGTTGCTTGTACTACTCGTACAAAGCAGCAAACGGCTACCTGGGAGAGGCATCCGAGCCAGTGCGATGGAGAAACATCGACAGTGCTTTTACCATTTCCACATCCTTTTCCATGTAAAACCACGTCAGCACATCGTTGCTCATTTACGAGATTCGCGGGTCGAGTGCCGTAGTCCGAGTCCAAGGACGGTGTCGTGGACGTCCTTGGACCAGGTCGCAGGGAGATGCCGCAAGGTTACTGCGGCCGATTCGGCTGCTCGCCTCGGCCCGAGGTGCCATCTTATGGTTTGTGGCTAGGTGTAGAGTGATCCAGGTGAAGGCAAGCAGCGCACCTCCCGCCCTCGACGACTGCCATATCGGCAATAGTACCTTATCGGCATGAGCTCTGCGTTGCATTCCACAGCTACCTGCCTTGGAATGCAACGCGCGTCAACAAGAGTGGGTGTGCATGACCACGACCAGTCCTGCCCGTCATCCACTCTGGCCACGCGTGGAATGGCTCGGTACTCGAGTCTCCCGATGAGCGAAAAGGCTCGTATGGCACACTGGTGGCATTTGCAGTGGCGTCCGCAGCACCCGTGAGCAGACCGTGCAACGTCGCGACAGAGGAACGAGGCGCTACGACGGCCGCGGACCAGAAAGGATAAAGATACTCGTGGCGATCGTCAGCTAGTCCACTCTGGCGTTTTGGCACGCATTGTACTTTGAGCCAAGGCAGTTAGTCATGGCGTCGATGCTTCACTTGAGACCAAAAGAAACTCTGGCGAGGTAGTCTACGTGTGCCTTGACCAGTCGTCCAAGCAAAACTGGCAATGAAATCACAACCACAACCCCGGTACTTGCCACTACGTAGGCCTGGGCGCATTATGAGTGACATTTTCGGGGCGGCGTGGAGAGCCATATAAAAATGACTTCAACCACTGCAACAGTATCCACGGGGCAACCGAACCAACTGGCCAGCCCGGAAGATCGCCAACTTCAACCTCTATCAATGCATATCCGGATGTCCATATCGGGTATGAAAGGTGGAGGTTGCCGGAAGATACGAATTCTTGCCCCGAGGAAGAAGAGAGATGGAGCGCGAAGACACGGGCGACGTCCCGCTGCTCATGGCGACGTCCCGCTGCTCATGGACATGACCGACGACGCCATCGAGGAAGCGCGGGAAGAGCGCGTGAGCTTTATGGAGAAGTACATCACAAGCAAGATGCAGCCAGGCTCAGGTACGTGCTGCTGCGCAAGATGGGACGATCGGATCCGAGGTTCCTCGTAGTCAAGGGCTCCATGTTCACGATGACCGTGTCCATCGTGGGGGCTGGCGTCCTCGCCTTGCCATATGCTGTCAACCAGGTCGGCGTCCTCCTCGGTATTGGGATCATCCTTCTCGGCGCGTGCCTGGCTTACTACTCGCTCTTCCTTCTCGTCGTCTGCAGCGACATCTCGCACGAGACGTCGTACATGCACTTGGCCCACGCCACCTCTGGCCCTCGGTGGACATGTGATCACGCCACGCTTATTGGCTCATGCGCATGCGTAGGCTGGCGATGTTTGTCCAAGGCGTCATCTGCATGAACCTGCTGGGAACCGCCGTCGGCTTCTTCGTCGCGAGCTCGGAGCTCATTCTTCTCGTCGTCAAGGTACCCGCGCTCTTGCCTTCTTATCGCTCACCATGCGCATTTAGCCAACGCAGTACTTTGGCGCCATCGAAATGGGCTCGGATCGGGACACACGCAACGCGCTCATCGGTGCTCTCTGCCTCTGCTTTGTGTACCCGCTCTCGCTTTTCCGGTCGCTCTCATCCTTGCGCTTCTCGTCGCTCTTTTCGATCCTGTGTATCGTCTTCTTGACGATCACGGTCGTTGTCAAGTACTTTCAGTTCGCGCACCTCGGGTTCGCGCCCGACTTTTGGTACCAGTGCGAGCACCTGACCATGTTCAACTTTAAACCGTCGCGGATTCTCACGGCCGTGCCACTCGTGGTCTTTGCGTACACGTGCCACCCGAACGTCCTGCCCATTTACCTCCAGCTCAAGCGACGCTCGAGCCCCCGCATGTACAAGGTTGCTTGGTGGATGATCATCTTTCGTGCATCTCATTTCGCGTTGTAGGTAGCGCGCCGTAGCTTGGGTGTTGCGAGTCTCGTCTACTTGGCGCTGAGTGTGTTTGCTGTCTTTACGTTTGGCGACCAAACGCGATCGAATTTTCTCGAAAACGACTACCACGGCGACGCCGCGATCATCGCGGGCTGCATCTTCCTCGGTGTCTCGATCGTTGTGACGACGCCGCTGTACATTCACACGCTGCGCAACTGCATCAACGAGGTGCGTCCTTTCCATCGTCCAGTGCGTTCTCACGTGCGGATGTAGGCCGTTTGGGGCAACGCCGGTAGCACTCTGCGCCATGTCTTTCTCACGACCGTCCTGGTCGCGACGGCCGTGACGCTCGCGCTGCTTGCGACCGACATTGCGTCAGTCCTTGGCATTCTCGGCGCGACGACCAACCCAATCATCTGCTTTGTCATGCCAGCGTTCTACATTTGCCAACTTGGCGACGCATCGCTCATTTGCCACAAGTATACGGCGGTCACAATCTGCCTCTTGCTGTGCGCGCTCTCGGGCTGCAGCTTACTGCAGCAGCTGCACAACGCGCCCACAAACATGCTCTTTGTGTAGTAGGCTTAACGAAAGGATGCCATGCGCCCTTACATACCACTCGCGTCGGTTGAAGAGGTCGGCGCCTTGAGCTGAGAGAGAAGCGCGGACGCGTCGGTTTTGGGTGCAGCGTCGGCCAGCAACGTGCGAAGCTTGTCGATCTGCTGCAGTAGCTGCTCTTTTTCCTTCTTGCTCTGGCGCGCCAAGAGCTTGGCGGCCAAAACCTGTTTGTCGAGTGCCCGGAGTTTGAGATCGCGCTCATCGATCGCTTGCTGCCACGTGACGTGCTGCACGGCCAATTCTTGCCTACTCCCGTCCAATATGGTTCTCCGAGTAGAGACAATTATGTAGGATGCACGTACGCACTTGGCCCTGGCGCAGAGGATGGCGTGACGACGGCCTACGCTTGCAGCCGCGAATGTGCCAAGGTGATTTGAGAGGAGCAACGTACCTGAGCCGCCGTCGCCGCGGCAAGCGCGTCGTTCAATTCGACAATCTTTTGCGACATGGACTCTAGCACACGTCGACTTGACAAGGAGGCGTGGTCGTCTCGAGTACCCTTGGCCTGCAGCATCGTGTCGGTGGCTGCGCGGGCCGCCTGCGCTTCGTCGTGTGCGGCTTGCAGCTGCTTTTCGAACGCACGTAGCTGCGCATGGAGGTTGGACCGGTCGAGACACCACTTTTTTTGCTGGTCTTCGAGCTGCGTTTGGAGGTCGATTTCGTGCGCGTGCATGGCCTTGATGCGTTCGAGGAGGTCGAGCTTTTCGCGATCGCTCTGCGCCACGTCGTTGGCGTGGGCCTCTTTGAAAAATGCGAGCTCCGCTTCCGCTTGCGCGCGCGCCTCGCTCTCCTAATTGCAGCAAGTTGCCTCCGAGGCCATTCTACGACAATGTACTTTTTCCTTTTGCTGGATGAGCTGGATCGAATCGTGTTCGATCTTTCCGAGCGCCTCCTTGCTCGCTGCGTACTTTTGCTTGGCCCGATCACACTTGTCTTGAATGCTAGAGCGCAGCATTCACATTACCATGAGCTTCGAGTCAATTGTGTACGCCGTGAGCTGTGCGAGCTGCCGCTGCAGCGTCTCGATCTCGGTTAGCTGCGCTTGGAGGTTGACATCTTTGGACGCGATAGCAATGCGAAGCCGGTCCACTTCTTCCTGAAGGGTCTTGACGGCTTCCTACGCCACGGCGCCTCGGCAAGGTGGACCCTTGGTGATTTTAGCGCACCGCGTCGTTGGCTGCAATCGACTTTGCCTCGTCGTCGTCCTCGTGGGCGTCGCGATTGTCTTGCGGCGACGCTTCTTCTTCTTTGGCGTTGGAGGCCATTGCCGCTTTGGTCGACTTGAGGCTCTGCACGACGCGCTTGTACTTTTTATCGAGATCGAGAAACTCGAGCTCGAGCTCTTCGCGGGTCTTGGGCCGGAATCGTTTGGGGCCACTGAGTGCTTTTTGAGCACAAATTCATTCACCTACGGGCCTACTCGTCTCAATTCCGTGTGCAGTCAACGTACTAGTGGCAACGAGTCTTGGAACTCGGGGGCTTTGGTCGCGAGCGCCTCCTTGAGGACGTCGATGAGCAAATCTTGCTCGCGCTGCTTCTTGCGCAAGCTCTGAATGAGCGCGGACCGGCGGTGTTCGTTGTCTTGGGCCTTCATGACACTCACTTGCTCTTGCAGTTGGTGAATCGACTTCATTAACGACCGGACTTTTTGCGAGTGAATGTTGTTGAGTGCCTGCGTCTTGGCTAGAGACACAACTAATACGACAGTTGAAGGAAGATGCATCACCTTCGAGAAGCGCGTTGGTGCCGTCACCACTTTCGACGAGGCTCTGGAGCTCGAGCAGCTTCTTGAGCTCCTTCTCACGCTGCTGCTGCTCAGCAATCGTTTTCTGCGCTTCGGCCAGTGCACGCTAAGCAATACTACTCAGTATTGTCGGTGAGAAATGCTGCGAGCAGTACCTGGGTCTGCTTGAGCGGATCATGGGCTCCGCTTTCAGGCCTCTTGCGCTCGGGCGCTGCTGCGCGCATGCTAGCGCCGTTTAAATCTCGAACGTTTCAGCCAGCCTTTCCGCCACCTCAGGTCCAAGCCTCAGTTCCAAGCGCCTAGAAGTGAACGCCGAGGTGGGATACTCCGATGCAGTGCGTTGTCACGTAGCTGAGCGAAAAATTCTTCCCTTCGTACGGCCCTCCTAAGTCTACACCGTCATAATCGTCCGGTGCCAACGTCATTTGGAGCTGGCGTTGGCTCGCGATCTTCAAGCGCCGCTGAATGTCTCTAATTAGTGTTAAAGATGACCTTGCTATGGGTTTCCATGCGGCGGTGTACATGCGCACAAACGAAACATGACCATTGTACTAAGATGCGCGTGCATCAACAGCCCGCATTGTGCATGCACACTGTAAGAGAACAACGCGGTACTCCCTGCGCAGCAGCTACTAACACGATTTGATGAAACCAGAATAGTGTGCGATCCATCGAACGTTTTCGCGCGAATGGAAGAAGAAATGCGGGACTTCTGGAATCGCTACAGCACACATTTATATTGCGAAGGACATGGGTCTCACAAAGAGCAAGGTCGAAGCGCCAGCCACAACACCGGCGTCGGGCCCCACGGTGGGTGCAACCCAGCCATCGACTGTGACCGCGGCTGGCCCCAAGAAGAAGAACAAGAAGGCAGCAGCCACGGACGACGACGACGTCTTGGCGCCCAAGCACGTTGAAGAAGACACGGGTGAAATGATCCAGCTCTTCATGTACGAGCGGTGCCCGCGCTCGATCGTGCACCACTACATTCCCGCCAACTTGCCCATGATGCCGCTCTTCACGGCCGCGTACGTCTCGGACTGCAACAACACGTGGAAGTACATTTTGGGCTCGGCCACCGACCGCATGAAGGAGTTTCGCAAGTCGGGCATTATTCTCTTCTACGACGAGTTCTTCTTCCGCCTCTTCCAGCGCGACTCGACGTTCCAGGAGGTGTTTCCCGACGTCAAGCGCCGCGGCGAGATCCTCATCAAGGCGCTCACGCTGATGCTCAAGTGCTCGACCGAAGACAACGCGCGCCTCGTCAACAAGATTCGGTACCTTGGCCATCGCCACCGATTCTTTCCCAAGATCCGCGCCTACCAATTTGCTACGTACACGAGCACGATGATCGAAGTGATCATGTACTGGCTCGGCGAGCTCGCAACGCCCGACATTGCCGAGGCGTGGTCCAACGTCGTGTGCTTCTTCATGAAGCACATGCTCGAGTCCTTCTTGACCAACCGCGTCGACCCGTACGAGAGCTACCAAAACACCATCATCGAGCACATGCGCGCGCTGAGCGAAATCGAGCAAAACGATGCGGCCAACAAACCGTCCTCGAGCCGCACCAGCCGCGTGTCGCGTCAATCCGTCGCGAGATAAGACCATGACAATAGGGACGTTGGAGTTTATATACATCGCCACGGAGTCCATACGTTTTTTGCCATGTTGTTGTTGTCGTTGCGAGACTTTTGGCTCAACTTCTGTCGCTGTATTGTCGAGAAAATGGCCATCCCGTCGTGCCTTTGCATGGTCGGTTTCTTGGTAGACCAAGGGAGGGCACAGTACCTACTGCGCGTTTGTATACAGCAGAGCCGCGTCTCAAGTCTACAACCTCCATGGGCGTCTTGACCTCCAGAAGCGTCCTCGCAAAGACGAGCTTCTTCGGCCAGTTGAAGTTGCCTCCACCGTTCCCGCCATCTTGGCTCTCCGGATACGGTAGGACGTTAAAAATAGAACAGGTCCGCCGCATCGCAACGGATACAAAGTGCAAGCCAAAGCGACGCGGTATCCGGATTCCTAAGCTTCGATATCGACGGTTGCTCACTACTGCAGTCGGGTGTTGGGCGCTAGGTGGTCAGAAATGGGGCCGAGTGGACCTACGCCAATGGAGACGCCGATGATGACGACGACGCCGGGCCAGAAGCACATGGACCCGACGTGCGATGACGAGCGCGTGGTCGCCCTCGAGGCCGCGCTCCGTGACAAGGAGCACGAGCTGCTCGTGCTGCAGCGCAGCCATGACGAGTACGTGCACTCGAGCTGCGAGATCGAGCACGAGCTCGAGGTGGAGGTCCAGCGCCTCGAAGCCGCGCGGGCCAAGACCGACGAGCAGCTCGAGAAAGCGCTCGACGACGCGCGCAGTGCGCAGCAGGCCGTGCTCACCGCTAACAAGGACGTCGTTCAACTTCAAAGTGTCATCGAGGAGCTCACGAAGACCACGAGTACGCTCAAGAAGCAAGTGCAAGTGCTCGAGCAGCACAACGACGACCTCGAGCGCCGCGAGCGAGAGCTCCAAGCGTCCGTCGAGGACCTCGAGGCGCGGCTCGACGACAGCATGGAACAAAACGTCTTTCTCCAGCAAGAGCGCGACGATCTGCAGAAGCAGTCGGATTTCCGACCGCCCTCAAAGCTGGCGCCTGTCAATGTCAACATGGACCTCGCCAAGCCTGCGATCCCGATCGCGTTCCATGCGATCGAGTCGCCCGTGCCGCCAACGCGCCGGGTGTCTATGCCGGCCCGGGTGTACATTGCTGCGAAAAACAGTTGCGGGCCCGTGTGTGCCATCATGTAGCAGTACTACTGTTCCGCCGTCTGTCGCCCTCGTTGTCCTCGTCCACGTACTACACTCTGATCTTAGACGATATTAATACACACGCCTTTATTTATTCACGGCCGCCACGTAGGTTTCAATTTCAGAGGCGACGAATTGGGCCTCGGTACCCAGCGTCGGCGACGCAACGGCGCCGGCGGCTGGACGCGGCGAGGGGCCGTAGCGACCCAGCGGGCCCAGGCCATGCGCACGTAGCGCTGCGCCAAGAGAGCCGCAAGTGCGCATGCGCTCGCGTGGCAGCGCATCATGCGCCGCACCGCGGCGGCACAGAGCATCCCAACGTACTGCGCGATCGCAGCTGCCTCGTGCTGTCGCCGGGTGCGGGCCTTGTCGACGAGACGCCGAAGTAGCGCGACGACCGCTTGGCACTTGATGCGGCGATTGAGGCAAAATGTGCTAACACGGGTTTAACCTCATCGAAACTCGCGGTCGAACGTCGTGTACACATGGCGCGCCAACGACGTGACGTGTTGCCAGCGGATGACGGCAGCGGTCATCCGCCGACGCTGATTCTTGCGCCAAAGACCAAGTAAGTACTACTTCGCACACGTGCAGATGGCAGCATGGGTATGGATGTGTGTACCGTCACGGCCCGTCGATGCTGGACGACCCACGCCAGTGCCGCAACTTGCTCCTCCAGGACGCCTTGATACACGAGTCGTGCCCACTGCCGCCACGCCTGCGGGACAGTTTGAGACGGCGGTGCCGTCGAGGTGTACCGTGCGTGTGCGAGCTCGGGCGTGGTGCCGAGCAAGCGCGAGCCCCACTATTGTGACGGTCCTGATGGCGCTGCGCCACGTGCACAAGCCACGGGTCAACAGGAGACGTTGGCGGCGCAGGACGGCCAAACGGAGCGTACGGTCCCGCCTACGCGACGGTTGCCCGCAGCATGGCGGCTGGTACACTCGCACCTCGTTCGAATGCGATGGTCGTAGATGGCTTGGTGCTTGGCGGCGATCGCGAAGCGACGCCAGCGCCTCCAGTGCGTGCGCATGGCGGGCAAGAGCACGCAACGGTGGTGCACTGCAACGATCGTCTCCATCATCACGAGGCTGTCTGCGTGGCGTTTCACGTCGTCGAGTGGGACGTCGACTCAAGGATCTTCGAGGGACGTCAACAAAAATCCTGGACGTCAACAAGTCTTGACGTGGGAGTGAGGCGGCAAGAGTGTGTCGTACACCTTTGAAAGGGCAATCGGATCTGCGGTCGCCTGATACATCTGACATGCGAGTCAACATCCAGCTGTTGCGCTTGGATCATCGTGACGTTGTGGCCGATTGCGAAATAACGCAGTCACTGTACGCTTGAGCGTCATCACGAGCGTCTGCGAGCCAAACGACGTAGTACGAAGGTGGCCGCCATCAACGCACGCGCTCTTGGTTGTGTGCTCCAGAGCCATCTTCGCATCATGGGGTTGACCAGTACTAGTACCGGGCTTCTCGCAACGGTGGTATAAGTATACCAGTACTCTGTGGCACCAAGTGTTCTTCGAGATGTTGGTGACACGAACGATTCGTACACTTGTACCGATTTCTTGTACTACCGCATCAGGATTCAGCAACGTACTAGCACACCCAAGTGCATCAAGCTGGTTTTCGCGGTTGAAGCGACCGAGCATGGTGATATAAAAAAGCTGCCACCCACGGCCGACGTGGTCGACGTGCTGGCCAAATGCATTTTCGCCGCACCAAGCGAGACGTCGCAGGAATCGCGCGAGCGACTTGATGTGCGATGTGAAAATACTTCGTCCACGGCTGTGTCCTCTTGCAAGCGATGCAATCACATGTAATACCATGTTTCTTATTGAATGATATTCGTGTGGAGAGAATCGACTCTGGTCGGCTGCTTGGACAGTCCCACATGTCGGATTAGATGGTAAACATTTCTGATCCGCCGATGCGGCTTCGAGATTGCACTTTGAAAAATGAGCGCCCAGCTGCTCAAGTCGTTTGTGCTCACGCACGACGAGGAGGTCGCGTTCGGCGCCCGCGCCCGGCACCTCCTCCATACCGCGTTGGCCGCCGCGCCAAAGGCGACGCCGACCCTCGACAAGATGGGCCTGCGTGTCTACAAGGACGACATCAAGAAAGAGTACATCTGCACGGGGCTCGTCCACGCGAGCCTTCGCGACGTGGCGTATGCGCTCTACACGGACTGCACGCGTGACGCCAAGACCGTCGCCGCGCTCCTGCTCGGCAAGGCATACCAAGACGCCGCCGTCCTGCGCGCGCTACTGACGCGCACGGACGCGGACCCGTTTCAATTTTTTGGCGCCAAACTCGTGTCCATCAACAAGACAGGAATTTTCGGCAAGCCCAAGGAGCTCGTGTACCTTGAGGTAGACCTTCTTGTGCAATATGGGGTATTCATGTCTTATTGCTTAGTACTCTGGCACGTACGTACCGCCGGGAAGCGGCTCGTCGCCCGTGCTCTACCAGATTCTCGAGTGGGTCGATATGACGCACTACCTCTCGCCGGCCAACGTGTGGCATCGCGCGATTCGCCCCGCGTGCTCGATGGTCCACCTCTTTCGCCCCGTGGCTGGCGACGCCCGTGTCGTGTCGCTCCTGTCGCAAACGACGTATGCGCGCGAGGTGCCCGTTTACCTCCGCAACCTCAACACAACCGCTTCGTACTGTGACCACGTGCAGCAGCTCTCGACACTGCCGGCGTCGAGGCGGCTCTTGGACGGCAACTGCCTCGTTCAGCACTGGGTGCCCGAGGCCAAGGCATGCAGCGTCTGCGCGCTCTCGTTCAAGGCGCTGCGACCAAAGTACAATTGCCGGTCGTGCGGCGACGTCATGTGCTCCAACTGCACGCACCACCTGCAGGCACCGACAACCGTCAACAAGTACTGCACCAAGTGCGTACTGGCAGCGCGCCAGCGCGAGGGCCCGCCCCCGTCGGTGGCGCAAGTACCGGCGCCGCGGCCACTTGAGCGTGTTCCGACGTTTCTCTACACGGCCACTGACGACAATGACAAGGAGGTGACGATGACGAGTTGTCAAGACCTCCTGTCGCAACGGCCAGCGAACGACCAACTGCAGGAGACGTTTGCGCACATTGAGAAGAAGCTCGCGGAACAGAGCTCTCTCTTGTCGTCGATGCGCGACGTGATGGAGCGAAGGCGGCAGTCGCTCGTGTCGTCGTCCGTGTCCGGCACCGAGTACGACTCGTGTGCAAGCTTTGATCCTGACAGTCTCCTCTCACTCGGCGACGATGATGGGGACAACTCACGGCGCTTTGAAGAAGTTGTCGGGTAATGTCGCCACCTAGTCCAAAACTCTTAATAAATTGTTAAATAGACCGAAGCATAAATGGACAAATTCAAAAATGAACGACGATATTGTCCTGAATCTACACTCTACTACCATCTATCTCTATTCACAAGCGATGGTTACAAGGCCATGGGCTCGACCGCCGCGCCATCGTCGCCGTCGAGGAAGTGAAAGAGCCGATGGGTCATTTCGACACCAAGGAAGAGACAGCCATTCGCCGGAAACGACCGAAGCACGGCAGCTGACCAGCCTCTGTAAAACCCCCGGATGCCATACTCTTGCCACACATGCCGGGCGGCGGCGCCAAAGGTGACGTTGTTGCCGACTTGCATGCGCGACTTGACGACGTCGACGGGAAAGACGATGCTCCAGCCGGTCGCACCGGCGCAGCCACCGGCCGTGAGCACCGCCAGCGGGTGCAGTTCGCGCTTGGAGCTCGCATCGTGGAGCGCCATAAACCAGCTTGTGTACACGTCGTAGGCGCCAAAGAAGCAAAAGTTGAAGGGCACGTCGCGCAAAAGGACAGCGGGAAGGCCGGCAACGAGACCGCGCGGACCGTTTTCGCGCAATACGTTCTGGACGCACTTGCGCACACCGAGCGACGTGGTGCCGTGGTCGGACTGAAGGCGGCATTTGATGACTTCGGCGGGCGTGATCGCTGTCGCCGAGAAGATCGAGGCCGCGCTCCCGAGCAGCGCCTCGTCAATCGTGCGCAGGTTCGCATCGGACGCGAAGAGGACGCGCTTCAGAATACCGTTGGCCGAGAAGAGCACTGCGTTCTCGACGATCGCCGACGAGAGCGCGGGAATCGCGCCCTTCCAGAGCGACCGCAGCCCTTCCTGGCGCACGATCTTGGTCATGCAGTCGGTGACGCCGGCGTACTCGGGCGGTGTCGACTGCGTCTGGAGGCGCACCTTGACCACGTCGAACGGCAAGCCTGCGTAGACGTTGCAGAAGGCGCCGACGACGCCGCTCGTTGTCTCGCGGAGGTCGAGCATGCGAGCTGGAGATGCTAGAGTGCTGGACCGTAGCCAATCGCCGTCGCGCTACCGCCGGATACTTCAAGTCGCACCTGCTTGAGGTCGCCGGATCGTATCCGGATGACCTTGTATAAACCACCACGTGAAAATCTCTGCCGCCGCTTCTGGTTGGTCAAAGCGCCTCGGCGGGTTTGTCCCAGTGTAAAACCACGTGTAAAACGAGAGGTTTGGTTTGTCCCACGGCGTTAAACGGCAAACTCGGAACCATGGCGAAGCATGGCACAGCGGCGGCCTATGGCGCGCTTCAGCGGTACGATGACACGATGCATCGACGGTGCATGATGCACGCGGTAGACTTCCGTATGTAAAGACGGCGCCCGAGATCCTCGAGATGCGCTTCTGGCGCCACACGATCAAGGAAAAGGACATGGCCGACCCGATCCGGCGCACGAAGAATCAAACCGCACGGCTCATCAACTACCAGCTCTCCAAGCTCGCGGGCGTGACGTCGCACGTTGCAAAGGATTTCCCGCCGCTCAAGACGCTGCATCCGTTCGAGCATGTACGTCCTGTCGTCGTCGCTCGATGCCTCGGCTATCAACCAGTGTATCTCGTAGGAAGTCGTGCTCTTGACGCTCGGCCAAGGCACGTATGAAAACCAGTTGCAGCAGCTGCGCCGCGTCTACGCCGATTTGCACAACACGGGCAAGGCCTTCGAGGTCGAGAACAAGGACGTGCTCACGCAGGTCGAGTCCCAGGACTGCATGGCGCGCTGCCTCGACGTACGAGACACCTCATGCGTGCATGCACCTCATGCGGCACATGGTAGGCGCTCAAGGAAGTCGTGCACCAAAAGGCGCCGGTTCTGAAAGAGACGGCAGAGATGGCCAAGGTAGCGCGACTGGAGACAACGCGTGGGGATATATGCGGCGTAGACACTGCGAAAACTGCCCGAGATCGACTTGGACAAGCCGATTTTTGCGCTCGTGGGCTCGCCCAACGTTGGTACGACACGGTGCTTCCTCGTACCTTATTGGCGACCTTCTCGGTAGGCAAGTCATCGCTCGTCAAAGCGCTGACGACCGCCAATCCCGAGGCACACGCATTCGATGCTACCTTTTCGCGTCTCAAGGGCGTTGTTTAGATTGCCAACTATCCGTTCACGACGCGGGGCGTGACGATCGGCCACATCTTTATCAACGGGGTGTCGTACCAGGTAGCATTAGGATCTATGGAAACGAACGATCGAGTGTCTGACGTTGTAACGCAGGTCGCTGACACGCCGGGTCTTTTGTTCCGCCCGGACGAGAAGCGCAATGCGATCGAGAAGCTCGCGTTGAGCATCTTGACCAAGACGGACGCGGTTCGAATCCTTATTCCTTTGTGCGATGGAAATCAAGGTAGCAATTGGATGATAGACGGTCGGCTTTGTGATCGACCCGACGGGTGCGTCCGGCACCTCGGTGGCCGAGCAGCTCGCGCTTCGGGCCGAGCTCCGTGAGAAGCTGCCGTGGAAAGCCACACATACGTGGATTGACATTCTCTCCAAGATTGACGTCCCGTTTGACGCGTCGACGCTCACACCCGAGTGCGTCATCGTTCCCCATCACCCGGCCTGCATGACATGGTGCATGCGTGGTGTAGGCAGCAGAGCGAGCTCGATTCCTTCCTCCGCGTCTCGACCCAGACCAACGAAGGACTGTTGGCGGTCGATGCCGCGGCCCGCGACATGCTGTTGTTGCCGCCCGAGGTCAAGGCGGCAACCAAGGCGTAGGAGAGATGCAATTGATTAGGAGTAGTCGAGTGGCCGCGACGGCAAGAACGAGATCAACACGATACTTTCGTCCGTGGTCTTGAGGGTTTGCGCCATGAACGAGATGCTATCGGCCACGTCATCGAGCACGATCGAGAAGCGGGCTTTCGACGTCAAGACGCTTCCATCCACCGTGATCGCGACGCCGCGCTGGCTCGAAGTACATTGCACAATATACGGCTCGCTGGGCGACGCGGTGAAGCGCAGCGGCTCGCCACGCGGTAGTTCCGAGACGTGTGTCGCGCGCCCGAGACTGTCGACGCGGTAGAGGACGTAGACCTCGTCGCCAATGCAGTTGGATGCAAAGGCCAAGCCAATGCCCTCGCTTGGTAAATCACTCGCAGCGACGTCGTCCGTGGCTGCGATCGGAAACCGGTATCCAGGCGCTGCCATTTTGCGTTCCCAATCAAAGTAGACAAGCTGAATGCCTTGAAAGGAGTAAGTAGGCGTCTACTTCATTGTGACGATCCCACCATCCGTATACTATATGCACCGTGGGTCGTCCAACAACGTGCCGCTCGGACGTGGCACCGGGCGCCAAGCGGAACTCCAAGATGCGCCGGGCGCCAAGCTTTGTGCAAAACACTTGGACGTCGTCGTCCGACTGGTTGTTGAAGACGACACCAACGGAGGCGAGCGCCGCGGCGTCGCTCGGCGTTGGTTTTGGCGTCATGCTGGGAAGACAAGCGCGTATGGACACCGGTGTCTCCTGCAAAAACGCTGTGTGCACAGAGAGGTACAAGAAGTTACACGTACAACGCGTCGCTTGGAGGCGAGAGAGAGCGGTGACGGGTTGAACGACGGGTTGTACGGTCCTTCGACCACTTTTTGGTTGTTTGCAGGGTGGAGCGCCGACGTGGATCGAACAAGCACGACGGGCTTTGCGAGGGGCGTTGCCCCGTCGCCACCGCGCTGCCGTCGCGAGCTGCGCGGGGCCTTTGGCGCTGCCCATGGCGTGATGCTGACCGTCGATGGGGTATGGAACCGGAAGGCAGGAAAGAGGTTCTCCATGCCCGCGCTGCGGGTGCGACTGCGGTACAATCGTACTACTCAAGAACAAGGCTATATTTTTAGATTGCGCCGAGGAATATCCACCGGTAGAGGTACACTTCGCTTCCACGGCAATCAAGACACAACCAGCGCGACGTATCGAGTGACATCCAACCATGTTTGATAGCAGCTTTGACGCGGATCCAATATATTGCGTGCTCTCCGACAGTATTCTGACCGACAACCTCGCAAGAACCTCGCAAGAACCTCCCGGCCTCTTTATACGTAATATTTCGCTATCGATTTGCTATCTTCTTGCTCGCTCGGAACGCGGCGGTGTGAATGCAGAGGTAGTGATTGGTGTGTTTGTAGGGTAAAAGTTTCCATTGTCTTGTGTGCTTTCGGGTAAACCAGAGCAAAAAAGCGCACGTTATGTGTCGCCCGCCCGTATGAACGGCTGTTCACCGATGCGCCAACTCACATGCGCAAAGCGACAGCTTCGTAGAAGCTATGGTTCCTAGCGTAAATGGTCGTTGATGCCGACGCCACGTCATTTTATTTATGGCAAGATGTGGTCATTGCCATTTTGGTACCCGAACCGGTTTGCGTGAACCGGTTTCTACCGTGAATTGGCCCAGGCTTTCGGAACCAACAAGAACGAATGCGAGCGATCCAGCACCTTCGCCGCGCCATTGCAAAGCACGCTCTCCGCGCAGCGGCGCCTGCCGCCATGGCGCGTAGCCACCACCTTATGCGCCGATCGATGGCCGTCTCCCGCCATGCACACATCGCTGCGTTCACCTCCGCGGCCGCGCCGGCACAGCAGTTCAAGATCGAGCGGTCGGCCAGCCTCAAGGAGGTGCAGTTCAAGACATCGGGTGCGACCAAGGTCGAAGTGCATGTGCGTCCTTCGCTCATGGAGCACATTGAAGTGAGCGTGCATGGTACTGCGTCGCCGAACGCCTTCCGTGTCGAGGAAGCATCGGTGAGCTTGCTCCAGATCGCCGAGGACGACTTGACGGCGCTCGCTGGTGCACCCGTGCACGTGGACTTGGCCGTGCCAATGATGCTTAGCCTGCAGCTCTCGCTTGTCTCTGGCGACGTCCACTTCCACGACAAGATTGAAGGCGATGTCCGTGTCTCGACCGGCGCCGGCAACATTGATGCCCACAAGGTCCGTGGCATGAAGCTCCACTTGTCCACGAACGACGGCGTTATCCGCGTGCACAACCTTTTGGAAGGCGACGCGATCTCGCTCTCGGCCAAG